GTCTCGGTTGTGCAAATATCAATCACATTTCCCTTTACCAATACTTATTTTTCATCACGAAGAACCCCAATAAACCCCCACCTCCTTCCCCCCCAATGCCTGTGGGGCAGATGAATTCTAGTTAACACTCTATCTACTTTGACTAGCTTCATTGTTTCGATAAAAGTTGCACCATTATTATTTAGACTTTACTCCCCCCCCCCCCCCAAATCAGCCATGCTGAAAAAGCATTGTGGAATGATTTGCTTTCTACAGCTGGGTTCAAGAATTAAATGATGTCGCGCGGCCGTGAAGTTTTGGATTTCTGCTATTTTATTTATTAACCCTGGAAGTATTTCTACTGAGAGTCAGATAATTAAGAGATTGGTTTCTGTGCTTCTGGGGCTGTGGCCGTGCCAGAGAGTTGTTCGTGGGGGGCAACTGGTGACCTCGGTAGGGCGTGAAGGACGGGCCGGAACGACCCCCCTTCCCATGAGGTTTTAGTCGCCCCCACACTCCCGGCTCACACCTGCTCTCCACAAGGCTCCCATGCGGCCGCCATCTTTCTTTCCAGAGAGGAGAGGGCAAATGGGGCAACACCCTTTCCCCTCCGGGCAGACATGGTGGAGTGGATTAACGCATAGTCTGTTCGCTTTTCTGCTCCAAGCTGCTGGTTGTCTGCATTAAGTCCTTGTGCTTCTGGGGCCGTGGCTGTGCCGGAGAGCCGCTCGTGGGGGGCAACTGGTGACCTCGGTAGGGCGTGAAGGACGGGCCGGAACGCCCCCCCCCATCCCATGAGGTTTCAGTTGCGCCCCCACCCCTGGCTCAGACCTGCTCTCCACAAGGCTCCCATGCGGCTGCCATCTTTCTTTCCAGAGAGGAGAGGGCGAAATTTGTTCTTTATTTCCCCAGATTTATATTTTTTATTTAATTCTTTGTCTTATATATAAATTTTTTAAAACTTTTAGAGTCACACCCTGTTATGCTCCGTGGTTGCTCCTGGCTGTGCACTCAGGAATTACTTGTGGCGGTGCTTGGGGGACTATATGGGATTCGGGGATTGAAGTTGGGTCGGCAAACAAGGCAAACACCTGACCCGCTGTACCGCTCTGGCCCCTGTCTGTAGTTGTTGCTTCCCTTGACTACAGCTTTTGTCTTTTAATCTTCATGCTTGCTCTTTGTAGTTGATTTATTGCCTTTACAAATGTTTTTCAGTATGTCTTTCTTGTTAATGCCATTTCCTTTTTAGTTTAGAAAAGTTTCTTTAAAATTTCTTTCAAGGACGCTTCATTCTTCATTCACCTCTCTTTGTACAACTAATTGCTCTTTGAATGATAAGCTCATCAGGTATAGAATTTCCCCCTTATAGCACTTTTGATTATGGCATGCTTCTCTCTTCTAAATCTGCAGTTTCTGTTGTAATTCTGCTGAATTTTTTTAAGGGATTCTCCTGCTGTATAACAAGTTTTCTCTAAAGATCCTCTTTTATCCCTAGAGTCATCATCACTTGTTTCAGTTAGCAGCAGACTGCATACACAGTGGTGATCTCAGTATGCTATGCTATATAATCTAGTTGTGTAGGTGACTGTACCCTCAGGTTGGTATGAATATATTTTGATTTGTTCACACACTAATAAAACTGCAAGAACTAAACACAAAGTAAGGAGTAGCCCTTAAGTACTGCCACATGTGACCCAAACTCCCAATGTCCCAAAACATTTCCTTTTTCAATTTGCTATTCTTTCTGGGTGAATTGTATTGCTTTATTTTATATGGTAGAATTTTAGGAGATTAGGAAACTGGCCCATTGAAGTATTACAGATATGAGAACAATTATTAAGGCATTTTTAATATGAGATAATTATTGCTATCTCTGCAGTTTTACTTAAACTGGCATTGAAAATAACAATTGCTATAGAAATAATATTGGACCTAAGAAGATGTGGTTGAAATTTTTTTGTAGCTTTTGGCAAATTGAATGGTGGTAATGGTCAGAAACATAGGTTCTCAACATTATTTCTATCAACGAATAAAAAATTAGTAATTAATTGCAAGTTCTAATGTTGAAGTAAGGACAACAAATTCACTTTGTATTTGTTTTATATTGTCAATTACTTTTTAAGTTGTCAAACTTTATAGATAGAATGAAATGTAAAAAAATATCTGTATAGGTGACTGCATTGTATCTATACCCAGTATGAAGAATTTGTGGAGGCTTTTGATTTTATCCTAGCCCAAGTGCTTTAGTTTAAAGGATAGTTTTATGTTTAAAGAAAACTTTCAGGGAAAGTTTGGATATATTATTTTTTAAGCTGTTGAAAAGGAATTTTTCATGACTGGCGTAGTTTTTATGATCCTTACAATTGCAAGTAACACTGAAGTAAAATAAACTGACTTATGCAATAGATATATTGTTCTCTCAGATAATAAAATTTCTACAACTAAAGTGTATTGCAGTTTTAATGCTATATCACATGATTCAGTTATGTTGTGTGACTTAATCCCTATGCAGGAGCAGTAGGACCCGTTTCTTTTTTCTTTCTGCCCTACCATTCTCAGTCTGTCAACTCCTCCTAAGTGCTGTTTAGTCTGATCTAGTCTCTGGAAGTTTGCTTCATTTAGGCACTAGTGAAGTTTTTCATAAGTGTGAAAAACTGCTCATGTTCATAGAATGCACAATGAATTAACTATGAGTATAAGCCCACCCATCTTCTTCTTACCCAGGGTTAGACTGATGAAAGGCTTGGCAAATCTGAGGCAGGTGAACAAAATCTGGGTTCTTTATCTGAACAGGAGAATGACAGTTGAGTAACCAACGGTATTAGTTTGCACTAAGGACTGTGATGGAGTTCAGCAAATTAGATAAATAAGAAGTGTCCTGATAAAAGTACATTCTGAGCTTTTATTGGACTGTGGAAATTCTTACTTTTGTGTTCAAGTCATTAAGTTATTGTTCGGCTTTCTGCCTTTTAACTTTTATCTACATGATGCTGTCACCATTGTCCCGTTGTTCATCGATTTGCTTGAGCGGGCCCAGTAACATCTCCTTTGTGACACTTGTTATTGTGTTTTGGCATATCGAATATGTCACGGGTAGCTTGCCAGGCTGTGCTGTGCGGGCAAAGTACTCTCGGTATCTTGCCAGGCTCTCCAAGAGGGGAGGAGGAATTGAACCTGGGTCAGCCGCATGCAAGGCAAATGGCCTACTCACTATGCTATTGCTCCAGCCCAATGATGCTAAAAAAAAAAAATGCTCTTGCTCAGTTACCAATGAGTTCCTATTTACTGATGAGCTTGCCTTTTAAAATAAATTTAAATGCCACCTGTCTTCTCTGTGCTCACTATATGAATCTATTCTACTCTACCCAAACTATATCAAAGTATAAAATATTTAAACAGAAAGGCATAGTTTAAATTCTTCCCCATCCTGAAGTTGAGGATTCTTTTCCAACCATGTTTTTGTATATTTATGGGGATACACCAAAATCATATAGCTACACTGTATTACTTCTTCATACCTCTTTATATCTCTTCCTTGGGTAAATTTTATTATCTATAATAAGTGTGGTTAAACAGAGAAGAGTTCAGTAAATACCAGGAAGAGGACTTTATCATGTCACTTTTACCAATATTTTACTGATCATCCAAACCTGATTATTTTCTTTAATATCTCTTTGCCCCTCATCTGTGATTCCACAGTGTTTATGCTTTTGTACTTTCTCATGTTAATGATCTTATAACTTGATAAACTGACATGATTCTTTTTATTCTATAATAAATACTTTGACCCCAATCTAAAACACCTCCACTTATTCACCTTTTAAAATATTTTAAATAATGTATTGATGCTTTTTTTCTCTCACCACCTTTGATATTTCTTTGGGGATAAGAAGTACAGTGGAGGTGTTTGGGCCACACTTTGTGGTGCTCGGGGTCTGTTTCTAGTTGTGTGTTCAGGAACGGGCCCCTGCAGTTTTCAGGGAACCATAGATGGTGACAGGAATCAAACTGGAGTTTACCGCATGCCGCATGCAGGACAACACCTTATCTTCTGTTCTGTTGCTCTGGCCCCTTCAGTATTTTGTGTATGGTGGGTGGGTAGGTAAGTGGGTGGGGGAATTGTTCCCAAGTGGTGCCCAAAAAAGTTCTACCAGCAGTTCTCAGGCTGCAGGGCCAATGGACTCGGTGCATGAGCCTGAGAATGCCATTTGGCTGTGACCTTGGGCCCTGCAGTGTCAGGGCGATCAGGGCCATGCCAGCAGGAGCCACCGGGCTCACATCTGTTGGTTCTTGAGAGGCTCGGAGACATGGTCCTGGGAATTGAACCTGTCCCAAGCACACCATTTTCTTGTCCTGCCGTTCAATATTTACTGATTTTTCTTTGTTTTGTCTTTGTTGGGGGGTGAGAGTCTCCCAAGCAGAATCCTGGGCTGAGGCCTCCCAAACAGAGCTTGAGCCCATGCCCAGCAGAACTCAATCTCGAAGGGATTATTGGTTCAGTGCAGGGAGCAGCAGTGCCCCAGAGCTCTACTTAGCAGTGTTCAGAGGAAAAGGCAGTGCTGCAGATCCAAGCCAGTGCCTGTAGAGGCACGGCATGCTTTCAAAACTCCCAGCTCGCTTCCTCACTGCTTCATCAATGACTTCTGGGAATTTAACAGTGATGTGACTTGACCAATGCTTTGTTTTGGACATAGAAATTTGGGTGTTTTCTTAGTTTCCTAGATAACTTTGGTGAGTTCTTTTGTAAGTTTGGGAAGTTGGCAGCTATTCTTTCTTTGACTACGGTCTTTACTCGTTCACCTTCTGAAGTTATTACCATTATTTTGATACTTAACTTTTCTTGTGAAGTCTGGTTGTTTCTTTAGAATTTCTTCATTTTTCTTAGGGCTTCTTTCTCCTTCTTATTGTTTGAGACCTTACTGACAGTTTATGCCTTGTTTAAAATTAACTTTTGAATTGCATCTTTTGGAAGTGTTTTTTTATATTAACTGGTTCTCAAAATTGCTTTATCACCTCTGCAGATTTGATAATGGGCTGCATAAAAAGCAAAGAGAACAAAAGTCCTTCTATTAAATTTAGAACTGAAAACACTCCAGAACCTGTCAGTCCAAGCATCAACCAGTATGGAGCAGAACACACAGCAGTGACACCTTCGTCTTCAGCAAAGGGAGCATCTGTAAACTTCACCAGTATTTCCATGTCGCCATTTGGAGGATCCTCAGGGATGACACCTTTCGGAGGAGCATCTTCCTCATTCTCAGTGGTGCCGACTTCATATCCTACTGGCTTAACAGGTGAGATTGAAATGGTCAATTCTGTTGTCCTTTTGTAAATATCACTTAGGGCATCTCATACATAAGATTTACCTGCCGTATGAAAAGTGTCAGGCTAAGTACAAAGGTAAGATCAAAATGGATTAAAGACCTCAACATCAGACCGGAATCCAGAAGGTACATTGAAGACAAAGTTGACAAAACCCTCCTTCATGACATTGAAGCTAATGGTATCTTCAAAGATGTCACGCCACTGGCCAAGCAAGTGAAAACAGAGATAGACAAATGGGACTGTCTAAAACTAAGAAGCTTCTGCACGTCAAAAGAAACAGTGACCAAAATACAAAGACAGTCTACAGAATGGGAAAGGATATTTGACAAATACACATCCGACAAGGGGTTGATATCAAGGATATACAAAGTACTGGTTGAACTCCACAAGAAGAAAACATCCAACCCCATCAAAAAATGGGGCGACGAAATGAACAGAAACTTTCTCAAAGAAGAAATCCGAATGGCTAAAAGGCACATGAGAAAATGCTCTACATCATTAATCATCACGGAGATGCAGATCAAAACAACAATGAAATATCATTTCATACCACAGAGACTGGCCCACATCCAAAAGACCAAAAGCAACCGGTGTTGGCACAGATGTGGCGAGAAAGGGACTCTCCTTCACTGCTGGTGGGAATGCCCACTGGTTCAGGCCTTTTGGAAAACAGTATGGACGATCCTCAAAAAATTAGAAATTGAGCTCCCATTTGACCCAGCAATACCACTCTTGGGAATATATCCCAGAGAGGCAAAAAAGTGTAGTCGAAGTGACATCTGCACTTGTTTGTTCATTGCAGCACTCTTTACAATAGCTAGAATCTGGAAAAAACCTGAGTGCCCGAGAACAGATGACTGGTTAAAGAAACTTTGGTACTATGGAGTACTATGTAGCTATTAGAAAAGATGAAGTCATGAAATTCATATACAAATGGTACTACAAGGAAAGTATCATGCTAAGTGAAATGAGTCAGAAAGAAAGGGACAGACATAGAAAGGTTGCATTCATCTGGGGAACATAAAGTAACAAAATAGGAGACTACACCCAAGAATAGCCAAGATAAGTACCAGGAGGATTACTCCATGGCTTTAAGGACAGCGGACACACTAGGGTAAAAGGCAGCTCAGATAGAGAAGGGAGCACCAAATAAAGGGTGTTGGGAGGTTCCTCTCAGGATGGGAAATGTGTGATGAGAGTAGACTATAAACCGAACAAGATTGCCACTCAATGTCTCTTTTGCAAACCACAGCACTCAAAAGGAGAGAGATAACAAAAGGGAATGCCCTGCCACAGAGGTAAGGTGGGATGGGGGAACGGGGGGTGGGAGGGATACTGGGACTGGTGGTGGTAGAGAATGGGCACTGGTGGAGGGATGGGATCATTGTATAACTGAAACCCAAGCACAAAAATTTGTAAGTCTACAACTGTACCTCATGGCATTTCACTAATAAAAATTTAAGGAAAAAAAAAAGAAAAGTGTCAGGGACTTGTAAGAATTATAAGAACTATAAGAAAGTCTATAATATAAAAATTAAGTGATTGTATATACATATTCTAGGAAATTTGGCAGTAATCTGATGGTGAGCATGTTTTGGGGTAACATCCTTAATTTTTTGTTAATTCATTTTTTACATATCGAATGTCTGGCAGATATGGGGGATATAAAGATATACCAAATACTATCAGATACTTCTGATTTTTTTTAAAAAATTATAAGACTTAGAGTTCAAGTGATTATATTTTCATTGTTGAAGATCAAACCAACATATGTGAAGCACATTTGCTCAACCACTGAGCTACATCCCTAGTCCTAAATTTTGTTTTGTTTTTTTCAGTCACAGACAATAAGCCTGAGAGTCCTTATTTAGTCACCTATCCAAGAAATCCCTTTATTATATTATTTAAGAGAACAGTAAGAAGTGATAGCCAACAATCTTTCGTGGAGCCAGAAGTGCTTTAAAATAATCAGGTAGGAAGGGGCTGGAAAGATAGCGGGTAGGGCATTTACCTTGCACACACCCAACCAACCCAGGTTCAATCAGTGGTACCGTATATGGTCTCCTTAGAGTCCTGCCAGGAGGGATCTGTGAGAATAGGGCAGGAGTAAGCCCTAAATGTACCGGGTGTGACCCAAAAACAAAATAAGTAATCAGGAATGAGAGATAGTAAAACTGGTAGGGCACTCACCTGCTTGTGGCTGACCCAGCTTTGATCTTTGGCACTACATATGGTTTCCCGAGCCCTGCCAGAAGTGATCCCTGAACACGCTGCCAGGAGTAAGCCTTGAACACAGCTGGGTGGGGCCAGAAACACAAAAGTAAGTAATGTGAAATAATCAGGAAGAGGCCAGAGAAATAGTACAGCAGGTAGGGCACTTTATACATGGCCAACCCAGGTTTGAATCCCTGGTATCACACGTGGTCTCCTGAGCACTATCATGTATGGCCCAAAATACAAAAATGAAAAAATAAATAAAAATCTTGGAAGAGTTTTTTTTAGGATTCATTGATATAACAGTTTCTTTTTGTTTGGGGGCCACATTTCATGGTGCTCAGGGTTTACTCCTGGCCCTCTACTTCAGGATCACTCCTGACAGGGCTGAGGACCATATGGAGATCCAGGGGTTGCCCTATCTGCTGTACTATCTCTCCTGCCCCAATATAGTAGTTTATTGAAGTCATTGGTTTTGTGTTTCTTTCATTTCTTTTCTGCAGTCCACTTCATCTTTGGGCTTGTATCAAATTAGGCAACATGATGTGTCCTTAAAATGAGAGGGGGCAAAGAGGAATCTGTTCTACAGGCATGAGCTATAAATTTGTTTCATTTAAAATGTTCATCTCCTTCCCAATAATTATGACCTGACCAAAGAAATGATATAACCTCATCCTATGAGATTGTTTATTTGGGGAGGTATGGACCTCAAAGAGTCAATTACAATTCTAATTCCACCCCGTAACTTTAAATACTTAAGAAATTAGATGGCCATTGTAGTCATCAGCAAAATTTTCACTGTATCACTGTCATCCTGTTGTTCATTGATTGCCTTGAGCAGGCACCAGTAATGTCTCCTAGGTCCTAGCCCTGAGATTTTAAAAGTGCCATATTTGAGGCTCTTTCAGGGTCAGGAGAATGAGACCCATCATTGTTACTGGTTTTGGGCATATTGAAAACGCCACGGGGAGTTTGCCAGACTCTGCTGTGTGGGCAGGATACTTTTGGTAGCCTTCCAGGTTCTCCAGAATAAGAACTAGATAATAAGATGTCATGCAATGGCGAATGCGGCCACGTGCTTCCGGGAGCAAGGTTTTATAGTCTCTGGGTCTTGACCAGGGCTCTGCTCAGGGTGCGGAGGGAAACTCAAGGCACCCTCCTCCACGGGGCCCTGGTGAGGACAGCCAAGCATAGAGACAGGAGATTCTGCAGGGTTTTATAGTCTCTGGGTCTTGGCCGTTGATGGGATTACATGGCACTGGGGGCAGTTGGTGGGCGTAACACCTACATACTGGAAGATGGGGGGATCTGGGTGGAGGAGGCCTCAGTCCCAATCCAAGCAGGCTTGGAGATCTATGCCCTGGGTCCCGCACACCTGGGTTCCTCTGCCGGAAGGAACCGGCAACAAAATTTTATTTTCAGGATTATGTGGTTGGTTGGGCAAGATAGTAACCCAAAATCAAGGAAAACTTCATACTTAAAGATATATTTTCAATTACTAACAGATTGCTTATATGAAATAACTTGTTATGGGTGTTCAGTAACAAATATGCAGTGTCTGTATGTCAGGTATAGAACTGTGAACAGTAAAAAGTTTATTTCTGTCCCAGTGGAGATTACATAATAATGAAGGTTGGACAACAGTAGTGAGTAAAAAACCAAACAGGATAATGTAGTGCTTCTTGAAATATTATAAAGAACCTAGTCAGAATGATTGAAGAAGGTCCTCGAGGTCACTTTTTTCTTACTATGGCCCTTTTGACCCGGTTTTCCTTCTGTGACTCCCCCGTCCTACCAATTGGCCAGCCAGTCTTGTTCTGTGCACCCTTCCCTTGGACCCCTGTTTATTTGATTTCCATCTATAGCCCCCTTGGAATATCCTGGGGCTCACATGCCGTGTGGCTTTGAGGTGAGAAATGCTGCTTTGGATGATCAAGGAAGGGACCAGAGTGATGACACAGAAAGTAGGGTATTTGTCTTGCATGTGGCCGAACCGAATTCAATCCTCGGCATCCCATATGGTCCCTTGAGCATCGCCAGGAATAATTCCTGAGTGCAGAGCCAGGAATGACCCCTGAATATCACCAGGTGGTACCCAAAACGCCAAAGAAAATAAATGATCAAGGAAAATTATCTTGAGAAGAAATGATTTGGGCTACAGTCTGATAAGAATTACTTAAAAATGAACAGAGTTAAAAAAGAGATTTCTGAGGAAAGAAAATAACACATGTTAAGGTTTGGAGGTATTGGTGCACTGATGACTACACAAGAGTCTAGATAGGTAGAGATGATATGTATGATAAGGAATTGAAGTCAGAATACTCAGAACCTTGGAGACTTGTACTAAGAAGTCTCAATTTATTATTTTTTTAAATTTTTATTAGTGAAACACCATGAGGTACAGCCGTAGACTTACAAATTTCTGTGCTTGGGTTTCAGCTATACAATGATCGAGCACCCATCCCTCCACCAGTGCCCATTCCCTACCTCCTATGCTCCCAGCATCCCTCCCACCCCCATTGCAGGGCATTCCCTTTTGTTCTCTCTCTCTTATTGGGTGTTGTGGTTTGCAAAAGAGGCATTGAGTGGCCTTCATGTTCGGTCTATAGTCTACTTTCAGCATGCATCTCTCATCCTGGTAGGATCCTCCCAACACCCTTTACTTGGTGCTCCCCTCTCTATCTGAGCTCTCTGTCTGAAGTCTCAATTTATTAAAACCAGAAAGAAACTATTTTTTTTCTTATGAAAGTTGTTTGGTGGTGGTGGGGGGGGGGGGGGGCGGGTGATAAGGGCTCCCTCAGCATTGTGACTCCTGGAATCAGACTCAGGACTTTCCACATGACAGGCATGGAGGCATGGATTCTATCACTTGCCCTTTCGGTCCCAAGAGCAGTAAATTATTGAAGAGCTAATATAGAATTTGTGTGGTTGAATTTTCTTTTTGAAAAACCCCAGGGAGCAGAAAGGTAGCTTAACAGACCAACCGCCTGTTCTGCATGCAGAAAATACACATTCGATACTTGGCACCACATGATCTCCTGAGCGCTCCTGGAGTGATCCTCAAGCATTGAGCTGGGGCTAACCTCTGAGCACCCCTGGATGTGACCCAAAACAAACAAAAACTGTACTCTAGCAGTTTTGTGAGAAATCAATCTTGCTGTAGGGAGGCAGATAAAAATGATAATTAGGAGGCTCCTACTCCTAAGAAATAACAAGGACTTATTAGGCTGACTGATGTAGAAAAATAACATATTTTGGTGACAGCCCTCAGCACTGTTAATAGAATACTTGATTGACTAATAGTGTCATGTGCAAAGGAAAGACCTGGGTGCCATACAGGTTATCAGAATAAAATAAATCTATTCTTTTTTTATTTTTGCTTTTGTTTTGTACCTAAGGTTTAAATTGGACAATTAGAAAGTGTCAAATTAGACATTCAAATAAAGATGTCAAGTAGATCATAAATAAATGACTAGAACTCAGGGGGGAAACCTTGATAAATGAGATGTTTTATTCTTTTGTTTGCAGGTAAGTTTATTTAGTGTTCTAATCACCTAAGCTTTCATATGTAATACCATGTATGGGTTAATTTTGGAATTTAAAATTCATATCAACCATACCACTTTCTTTTTTTCTTTTCTTTTTTTTTTCTTTTTGGGTCACACCCGGCGACACTCAGGGGTTACTCCAGGCTCTGCACTCAGGAATTACTCCTGGTGGTGGTTGGGGGACCATATGGGATGCTGGGAATCAAACCCAGGTCGGTTGCATGTGAGGCAAATGCCCTACCTGCTGTGCTATTGCTCCAGCCCCACAATGCCAGTTAATTTCTAAGAAAAATATGTTACTTTTTAAAATAAAGTAAAATCTTAAGTTGAAGTCCATTATTAAAATGTTCACCAACTATTTGTGAAAAATTGACGATCAATGCTAGTAGTTTATGCTTTTTCTGGCAAGGAATTGGTTTGAATTAACTTTTCAAGCCTGAGATGTTGCTACTATGAATCAAAATTAAGTGTGTTTCACTGGATCTGTAGAATTTAGAATTTATAGAGTATAATACAAGGTATTTTTTGGTTTGGTTTTGGGGACACACCTAGCAGAGCTCATTACTCCTGGCTCTGAGCTCAGGGATCACTCCTGGTGGGAACCATATGGGATATCGGGATTGCAACCAGGTACTTACCTTACCCACCAATCTCTTTGGCCCCTCGTGTTAGGTCTTAATGCATCTGAATAGTTTAAAAATGCCAACTGTCCAAACTAATATTTAAAAATAGATTCTGGAGACTAGGAAGAAAGTTATGCCTGAACTTTGCTGGCAGTATTTATTTCTCTTTTCATAATTTATAATTTATCTTATTCTTCTTTTCCCTTACAATAGGTGGTGTTACTATATTTGTGGCCTTATATGATTATGAAGCTAGAACTACAGAGGACCTTTCATTCAAGAAGGGTGAAAGATTTCAAATAATCAATAATACGTAAGTATTGTGGATATTTTATGAAGGGGAAATAGTGGAAGAAACCAAGTCTTTGTACTGAAACCAATGAACTAGTTGATGATGCATTCAGAGTTGAGATTGGTGGGTATGTGTTTCTGCACACTAAGTTCAGTTATGCATTTGGTTTCTTTAAACATGTGGTATAATTCTTCTACAGGTATAAGTATTACACAAACTGTGCTGCTATGGTCCTGCAATAATTGTAAAAATCAAAGAATTAATATTAAGTGAATATATACGAGTAAATACATCATTAAAAACAAAATCTTTATAATGTGATTTCTGACTTCCTACTTATTTAAGTACCAGATTATTTAAGGACCTTTTGTCTTTCTCTTGAAAAAGAGAAGAGGAACCCCTGCAATCTCAAACTGGCCAAGTGAAGTTGATTTTTTTTCTTATGAGACTTTTTAGCTTTTTTCCTCATTTTTTTAAATTTATTTCGAATACCCATCCTTCCACCAGTGCCCATTTCCCACCACCACGGATCCCAGTATCCCTCGCACCCCCCATCTTTCCTCATTTTTTGAGGGGTTAAATGAGCCTTTATTCAAATGGGAAGCTGTGGGGGACGTGGGGGAATCCTCTGCCAGATGAGGATTTTGAATTAGTCTCTAACTGCACATGCAGGAAAACGAGGGCTGGAGTGTAAGCAAGGGCCCAGAAATGGGTGCATGCCACACACCTCACCGGCCCACATGCGCCCTCTTGCTCGAAGCTTCTGGAGGCAATTTTTAGGGAGTTGGAAGAAAGCAAAAGCAATGCGCAGAAATCTGATCCTTGGGGAAGCCTTTCTGCAGACTCTAAAGAAGGTTTAAGGAAAGGAACGAGACTGAAGGCGAAGCCTGGCTCAGCACAAAGGAAAGGTTCTAAACTAGACCCCAACTGAACCCCTGAAGTTCAGCTGCCTTTCTGCCTGGAAACCCGCAGGTCACAGGTCAGGGAGGCCAAGGATGCTTCTAACCAATGAGACTCTAACTCTTGATCATTTATTGGCCAACCATAAAAAATTCAATGCTTGTCTTGGATATATATAATTTTGTTAGCAGGTGTAATACCCACTTGTAACTTCTCATCATGTGTTTAATGAATGGTCTCTTAGCGGCCAGTGATGTTTCCTAATTTCATTTTGCTATAATTTTTCCAGAACTTAAGGGATGAGTATGTTTCTTGGCTTTAAAATCCTCTAACAACTTCTAGTTGCCACCAAGATGAAAGCAGAACATAATAGGAAAGCATACGAATTGTTCATTGAGTTTCTTCCAACTTCTCATTCACTTTCCACCTACCTGTACTGGATACACTCTTAAAGAGAAAAAAGCATTTGGCAGTTAAAAAAAAAACAAAAAAAAACTTGGGTGACCTCCTGATTTATGCTGCAGCATAGATAAACTTTGAAAATTTTATGCTTAGGAAAGGAAGCCAGAAATGCACCTGGCAGTGCTCAGGATTGAACTCGGGTCAGCTTCGTGCAAGGCAAAGCATTTTACAGACCCCTAATATATCTTAAAAGGGAGGAGTTTTGGGTATGCAAATTGTCTCAGTAAACCTTTAGAAAAAAAATACTCAGCTGAGTTTGAATAATTTGGAAGACTTGCCTCTGGTTGCTTTATTCATTGTCATTTATTGCCTTAGGTTGAAATAATTATATATTTTAGAAACCTTATAACTAGAATTTAAATTAATTTTTTTGTTTGGAGCAGAAATAATGCAATATTACTTTTGCTTAGTCTTATCACTTTAATTGATGTAACCTATTTTTAAAAATCATCTTTGATTTATGAGCACATGAATGCATAAATAAAAAATTGAAGTAAAACTTATTATCTACCTAAGATACAAAACAACACTGTAATAGATCATATTTTGAGCTGTAGTCTACCTGTGGTAATTGTTGTTTTATGTGTTGCAGGGAAGGAGACTGGTGGGAAGCAAGATCAATCGCTACAGGAAAGAATGGCTATATCCCTAGCAATTATGTAGCCCCTGCAGATTCCATTCAGGCTGAAGAGTATGGCATGACTTAATATTTTATTAATGATCTTGATTTTAAAAGCATTTTGATGCACATCCTACATAACCACAACTTTATGTACACACTATTACATACCAGTCTTAATATAGCTAATGTATCATATTAATAGTTGTTACTTGAAAATTAATAATAGATGCTATTGTATTCACTTATAGTAGGATTAGAAACAAATCTGCATTAATAACACTGAATTATACCTAATCTATTTTAATACTTTTATTAACATTTTATATTATGCAGCTTCTCTCCAGAAATTCACCCTTAGTTAATAGTAATAAGAGTGTATATATAATATGCGGGGGTTCCAGTCCCAGTAGTGCTGGGGTCCCCTGAGACCACTCTTGATGATGCTTGACTATGGGCAGTTTAGACCTCAGTTCAGCGCACGGGCCCATTAGTCCTGGAGGCCAGCAAGGCCACATCTGTTTGTTCTCAGGGCCCGCCAAGTCAACCTGGTGGTGCTGGGGCGGCCATGCCATTCCGGGACTTGAACTCAGGGCCATGAATGTGGAGGCGCATGTTCTGCCATTTAGCCTAGCTCCCGACCCCAATATTAATTTCTTGACTTAGGTGCTTGATCTGTACTTTTGTTGAGGAATGTTCTCTTTTAAGAAGTGTATCATTCTTGTGACTTTTACATAGATAAGGTTCACCTTCAGTCACATTACTTTAGTTCTAAGTTTCTGTAGATATAGATCTATACGTACTACATTTTACGGTCACAACACTAACATAGTGCCTAGCACATAGTAGCTGTGCTCAATCAGTGCTTGCTTTATTCATAGTACGTAATTTGTTCTGCTTTGGCGCTTACTGCTGTTTGTTATTTTGCCTTTCTTGCGTATTCAGTCAGCTCCTCCATAGCAAAGACTGTCAGTTTTATTCAGATAATTCTGTTGAGTCAAACTCACCCTAATTTAGAGTTCCCAGCAATGTGTTAGAGTTTATTTGCGTCTGACTGAACATAGATGATCACACTATTGCCACAGAACTTCTGCCCCTTCTGTTCTTCCTACTCGGGTTTCAGGGTTGCTGTGTGCTGCTGGGAGAATCCTTTCGTCCGTTGCCTTTCTCTCTCCATTTATTGTTCTTGTGTCTGCCAGGTGGACTTAAAAAGACATGTTGAGTAGCCAGTGTGTGGAACTACTGTGACAAAGTATATTTTGATAGTAATACTTATAGCATTCCTGTTTATTTAGTAAGTCAAATTCATTATTTTATGGCATTTTTAATCTATAGCTATTTTTGTCATCTTCCACTCACTGTCCGTATTAATATTAATGTGTGACTTTTATGACATGGATTCTAATTCAGAATGCTCTTCAATTTTTTCCCAGATGGTATTTTGGCAAAATGGGGAGAAAAGATGCTGAAAGATTACTTTTAAATCCTGGGAATCAACGAGGCATTTTCTTAGTGAGAGAGAGTGAAACTACTAAAGGTATTGATATTGTTAAATTGATAGTTTAAAATTTCCCTTGGGTACTGTTTTGGGACATAGACAGTAAAAGTCTTAATACCCACTGCCTTTCCTCAGGTGCTTTTTCCCTCTCTATTCGTGACTGGGATGAAGTAAAGGGCGACAATGTGAAACACTACAAAATTAGGAAACTTGACAATGGTGGATACTATATCACAACCAGAGCACAATTTGAAACCCTGCAGAAACTGGTAAAACACTACACAGGTACGTGAATATTTCAAAGATGAAGGTAATTTACTCAAATTTCAATTTCTTTAGTGACAGCAAACTGAGTCATCTGTCAAAGTCAGCCACCAGTCTTGATCAGATGTGTTACCAGACATTAGCATCAGTTGTAATTTCAGTTGTAATTGCACTTGTTAGAATGTTAAGTGTGGTCATTTGTTAAAAATGGGAAGGAATTTATCCTGTTTTCAGTAAGAAAGATTATGTAAGCAGGATTCACAAATGGGATTTCATTTGTTGTTGTTGTTTTCTTATACACTTTTTGTAGTAGTGTGTATTTGAAGTAGCAGTCAGTGGTAACATTTTCTTTGGGAAGAAATACAGCACAGTGCTCAAAAGTAAAATATTTTTTAAAAATAGTTTTATTGAGGGTGTGGCAAGAAGGTACAGTTGGCAGTACTCAGGGGCTACGTACTAGCTTTGTGCTTGGGATCACTCCTACTGTGCTTAGGGCTCATACGTGGTGTTCGTGATGTTCGAACCAGGGTCAGCCATATGCAAGGCCAGTGCCTTAACCCTGTACTTATCACCAGCCCCCAAATCAGGACTCTAGAGACAGTCACTTCAGGTCTTGAGTTTCATCTCCATAATTTACTGTGTAGACTTGAGAAAGTTGACTTAGTTTTCTAGCACTCATTTATGTATGATACTAGATAATGTGCTGAGTTATCAAAAAAGCTCGGACATTTTAAAAAGCTTTTAAAATGTATTAATGCAGTGTTTCATTTACTGTGTGTTTGGTTTCTTATACGAAGTTCCTTCCCCCCTATTCTGGTTTCTTCTTTTAAGTAGAAGTGGTAACAATTTTCTTGCTTTTTATAATGTTTTGTTTTTGTGTCCTTTATATGTTTTTAAAACATTAATAGATCATTTGCTTATCCTTAAGTTTTAAGTAATCTTAAAATTTTATTTATTTTTAATTAAATCACAGTGAGATACACATGTACAAAGTACTTCATGGTTAGATTTCAGTCATATCATGTTCCAGTACCCATCCCTTCAACACTGTACATTTCCCATCATCAGTGTCCACAGTTGCTCTTTCACCTTCCCCTTTTCCTCCATGGTAGGCACTTTTGGGGCATTATCGTTTGCAATACAGGTACTGAAAGGTTACCTATTAGTCTCATACTGATGTTTTTTTTTCTTTTAATCCTTCGAATGAATGCCCTCATCTAAATGAGTCCCTTTCCTTCTCTCTCATTTTACTCAGTATGATATTCTCCATATCTATCCATTTATAAGCAGATTTCATGACTTCATTTTTCCTAACTGCTGCATAGTATTCCGTTGTGTAGATGTACCATAGTTTTATAAGTAATTTTACAGTGTACTTTTTCCTTTATCTAGAACATGCTGATGGCTTATGTCATAAGTTAACAACTGTGTGTCCAACTGTGAAACCTCAGACTCAGGGTCTAGCAAAAGATGCTTGGGAAATTCCGCGAGAATCTTTGCGACTAGAGGTTAAACTAGGACAAGGATGTTTCGGTGAAGTATGGATGGGTAAGAACACTGAATTTTGTTTCTGCTGCTGTTAATTTAATTATAGGTTATGTACCATTGTTTATGATAAAATATGTTGAAATTCTTAAGGTAATTTCTGCTCATTGAGTCTCTCAAAATAAAAACTTGAAAAACTAATAAATGTGGCATTTCTCCAGGAACATGGAATGGAACCACAAAAGTAGCAATCAAAACACTAAAGCCAGGTACAATGATGCCAGAAGCTTTTCTTCAGGAGGCTCAGATAATGAAAAAGCTAAGACATGATAAACTTGTTCCACTGTATGCTGTTGTTTCTGAAGAGCCAATTTATATAGTCACTGAATTTATGTCAAAAGGTATGTGTATTTATAAATCTTAGGGTATTCTTGATAAATTTGGGGAGAAGCAAGTTATCATTTCTACTTTATACATGCAGATTTTTATTGCTTTCTAATTCATGATTTTTCTTGTACACATATGAAAATCTGACATTTTGTTTAATGGAATAGTGATTCATTGTATTATTCCAGTTATTCTAAAGAATTACTCAAAATTTAAAATGGGACGTGGGCTGAGCAAGTCTAAGTAATCTTGAAAGTAAATAATCCTTTATTCCATTTGACCAAGAGAAATAAAATACCAGGGCTGGAGAGATAACATCAGCAGTTAGGTACTTTATTGCTTGTGGCTTCTTTAGTCACCCCTGGTTTGATCCCCAGCAGCACATACAGTCAGAGCGAGAGATAACCCGTGAGCATTGCCAGGGTTTACCCAAGTTATCCATACCCCATTAATAAAGTATTTATACAGATGTCGTTAAGATGATACAATTAGTAAGCAAAGAGATTGTGTAAATTTAAGGAAATTAACTTTAATCTCATTTTAATATAAGTAGTTAATACTCGGGACTTCTAGAAACTTTATTCCACTACTATCAATTGGAATTTTTCAATTCTTCAAACCTCAGATCTCAGGGTATGGAGTTTGTGGTAACAGGGTTGGTTAGAGCCAAGATAAAGAGGAGAAAAGGCAGTGCTTTAGAAGAGGAACCAGTGAGCCATCAACTGTTTTGACAGGGATACTTTTTACCCGCTTACAGTTCATCTGTTTGCACACTGTAGTTGTGAATAAGTTTAGTTGAAGTACTTGGGGATCTCATATAGCAAAGCTGGGGTTTGTGAGGCAGTAGCAGCAATCTGACTCGCTGAGCTCACCCCAAGGAGCAGGCAGTCTGCAGCTGAACTATTCTGGGTGGTCCCCCTTATCTGCCCTTCTTAAATCTCACTGAGTCACTCCTCTGGAGATAAAGTGATAATTATGTCTCTCTTTAGTAGTCCTTCACAGCCAACAGTGTAGTTCCATCTAGTGGTTAATAGAACCAACTACAATACAACATTTACTTAAAGGAAGTCCACCCCCCTTCCCCCAAGTTGACAATAGCTTATTTATTGATGCTCAAAATGTAGTAATGCCCTAAAGCACACTGCCACTATCCCTTTCAGAATGTTTTAGATGAAATATAAAGAGAAGAGAGAAAAGGCACAACTAGAAGGAAGCTTAAATCAAAATATTGATAGCACACGAATATAATGGAAGTAAAGTTAATGGTTTGTTTTGTATATTGATTTCAATAATTATTTTATTGGGGGAACATGGCAGAAGTCTGTAGTCAAATTACTGGATTAGAATTTTTTTTTTCTTTTTGGGTCACACCCAGAGATGCACAGGGGTTACTCCTGGCTCATGCACTCAGGAATTACCCCTGGCGGTGCTCAGGGGACCATATGGGATGCTGGGAATAAAAACCGGGTTAACCATGTGCAAGGCAACCGCCTTACCCACTGTGCTATTGCTCCAGCCCCTGGATTAGGATTATTTTTAGGTGGGAAATTAAGAATACAAGATCACAGATGACTGTTCTGCTTTTAAAACTTTTTTTTTTGTGGGAAAATAAAGAAAAACCTGTAATTCTCATCACATATGGGGTGATGCTGGGGATAACATTCCTAGCTTTGGGGGACTGGATAAATAGCACAGTAAGGTGCTTGTCTTGTTGTGATCAACTTGGATTTAATCCGAAGCTCCACATGTGGTCTTCCAGCACTGACCCCTGAGTAAGTCCTAAGCCCAGCCAGGTGTGACCCAACCTCCCCAACCCCCCAAAAGAAAACCAACCAGACAAACAAAAATAACTTCATGCTTGGAAGGAAGCTTTCTCTACTAGGCTATCTTAGAACTCCAGCTTTTGCACTTTACCAGTTATCTATTCTCCTTAATGTACTAACCATGGTATGTCATCTAAGATTATTCTGTATCCCCAGAGGATGGAATCTTTCACTATTTCTATATATTCTGCATTGTTATGTAGGCATTTATTGATATCAGTATGTACTGCAAGCTTAAAAAACAAAGTATAATTCTTTTTAAAGACAATTCTTTTATCTGCATTTTTGGCCCTTGTATTTAAAATAAACCATCCCTTCATCTCAGCATCTGTTTTTCCCTCAGTTGTACGTTTTTGCTTTCACAATCTGGAAAATTTAAAGACTAGCCAGTATTTCTGTTTCCACTTCCTTCAACCATTCGCTCATTTTTTCTGTCATTCAAGTTTATTTAATTGCAGTGATTTTCATGTAATACTATGTTAAGTTGTGGATTTTTCCGACCTACAAGAAATAGTGTACACACGTCCCTACCATCTATCTAAGTGTTAACTGGTATTTACCATATTTGCTTCAGATCTTTTTACTGAGGAAGCAAAACCTTAAAGATTTAAATTGGATTCTTCTTTTGCACCTTTTGAGACCATGCTCCTTTTTTCTCTTCCTTCTGCTTCAGTGGGCCTATGCCCTTCAGAGGTGACCTCAGTTTTGAAGTAGGTGTTCTTGATACTTTTTTCACATTATACACTTTATTAGTATATAGGTAAGGTAAGGTAAGAGGTAAAGGCCCTCCCGTTGATCGTCGATTTGCTCGAGCGGGCCCAGTAACGTCTCCATTGGAGACTTTGTTGTTACTGTGTCTGGCATATCGAATACTCTCGGTAGCTTGCCGGGCTCTCCGAGAGGGGCGGAGGAATCGAACTCGGGTCGGCCATGTTGGCCCCGGTATTAATAAGTGTAACAAACTTTATTTTTATTCAGCATTAGGCTCTTGAGATTTATCATGTAGGTAAGGAATAATTAATTTCTATACTTATAACTGTTAGATAAGAATCTGTTTGGGTATTGCTTATTCATTCCATTCCCAGTGAACATTTAATTGTTTAGTTTGTCGCTCACTGATACAGAAAATGCTGCAGTGAATACTCCTTTGATAAATGAAAGTCTCTGGTACATTGGATGACAGCTGTATTAGCATCACCTGAAAATTTGTTAGGGACACAGACTTTGGGGATGAAGTCTAGTAGTAGTCATTTTCCTACTCCCTTCGAAAGTCATTTAAGTGTGACTGACACTTGTATTGCCTCTCACAGAAATTTCCCCCCTTCCTACCTGTCCTCCAGCATGACTGGACTTAATAGCCTCTTATTTCTAGACTACTGTAGGAAGTTTTTTTTAGAAAACTTATTTTGTACATTTTGGGGGCTTGGGGCCATACTTGGTGGTGTTCAGGGCTTGCTCCTGGTTTTATGCTCAGTGTACCATATGCAATGCCAGGGATCAAACCAGAGTCATTCACATGCAATTTAAGAGTTTTACCTCCTGAACTGGGCTGGAGCGATAGCACAGCAGTAGGGCGTTTGCCTTGCACGCAGCCAATATGGCCGACCTGAGTTCGATTCCTTTGCCCCCTCTCGGAGAGCCAGCAAGCTACCAAGAGTATCTCGCCTGCATGGCAGAGCCTAGCAAGCTACCCGTGACGTATTCGATACGCCAAATACAGTAACAAGTCTCACGATGGAGACGTTACTGGGCCCGCTCGAGCAAATCTATGAACAAGGGGAGGACCGTGACCTCCAGAACTATCTTTTCAGCCCATTATATGCAGTTTTGGCCCAGTTTTATTTTTCACACTCCTACTACTACTATTGGAGTAATTGCTCTTTCTTTCTTTCGTTTTTCTTTTTGGGTCACACCCAGTGATGCACAGGGGATACTCCTGACTTTGCACTCAGGAATTACTCCTGGTGGTGTTTGGGGGACCATATGGGGTGCTGGGAATCGAATCTGGGTTGGTCGCGTGCAAGGCAAACGCTCTACCCACTGTACTATTTCTCCAGCCCCAGTAGTTGCTTTTTCAACACAAAGCTGATTATATTCCTTTAAGCATGAGGCTCTGTGTGAAAAGGATTGTGTGTGTCTCCTTATGCAGCGCCTTCTATGTCCTGGCTCTTCTTGTTGTACCTCTCTCATCATTTTCAGCTGTGTTATTGTATGCAGAGGATTATTCATGAAGTTAGAGTGCTGTTCAAGCATTACTACCTTTGTACTTCCTGTAATTCCCCACGTGCTCTCTTCTTTCTTTTTTTCCCTTCACTTTTCCTTTTGGTTTTTGGGCCACACCCATCAGTGTTCAGGGCTTGTTCTTGGTTCTGTGCTTAGGGATCACTCCTGGCAGTAGCTTGGGGACCATTTGTGGTGCCAGGGATTGAACTTAGATCAGCCATTTGAAGGGAAGTGCCCTACCCACTGTACTGTGTCCCCAGAGCCCCAGTTGTGGACGTCTGCATTATTTCTGGCTCTGTGCTTAGGAGCCATTCCTGCTGGTTTTCAAGGAAGCATGTATGGATTTGTAATACCGGGGATTGAAACGGGGTCATCTGAGTGTAACACAAGTACCTTAATACCTATACTTATCTCTCTAGCTCCCATTCTTTCTTTAGATACTTTTCCTCTGTGAAACCTTGACTGATTTCTCCATAGAAATACCCCTACCATTATGTCTTCACAGTGGTTTTTACAGTAACTTTCCTGACACACTGTATAATACTTGGCTGCATATAATCTGAGTTTCTAGATCTGTATAGACTTTAATACTAGAACAAAATCTTTGAGGGGTCTCAGAGGGGCCTGAGAGTCACTCCCAGTGGTTCATGGCCAGCTGAGCCTATTTCACTGTAGGTAACTGTGGTACTGGAGACTATATAGTCCACCCCTCCCAGGGGACCATCTGATGTGTGGCATCAAACTGGAATCAGCCACATGGAAGGTATATACTCTAGCCCTCTGTGTTATATCTCCAGCCCTGAAGCTCAAGATTTTTTTAAGTAATGTATCATGATTTACGTTCCTATCCTTTATACCTTTTCATTGTTTCTTCTTTGGGGAGACCCCATTCCTAACAGTGTTCAGAGCTCATCTTTTTTTTAATTTACATTTTTTATGGGTCACACCTGGCTATGTACAGTGGTTCCTCCTGGCTCTGCACTCAGGAATTACCCCTGGGGGTGCTCAGAGGACCATATGGGATGCTGGGAATTGAACCTGGGTTGGCCATGTGCAAGGCAAATGCCATACCCACTGTGCTATTGCTCCAGCTCCCCAGAGCTTATCTTGACTCTGGACTCATGGATCACTTATGGCATGGCTTAAGGGAACGTAGGGGGTTAGAACCTGGGTTGGAGTCCTCCGAGGCAAGCATCTTACCCCCATCCTGTCTTATCTCTCTAGCCCCAGTGATGTTCTTAATCATAGTAGTTTATTTGGTTTCAGCAGCCACTCCATGGTCATGCATTTCTTTTTGTTGTCATTTCTCTTTAGGTTCCTTTATGAGAAGTAGTCTGTCCCTCCTCTAGTATTTAATGGTATTATTTTAAAGTGAAGAGTGCAGTTTTATAAAAATGTGTCAATCTGGTTTGATTGTTTTACCTTGATTAAATCAGGGACCTAAGTTTTAAATAATAGAGAATAATAGTCTAGTTTAACAACTAACCTTTTGCTTTCTAGCTTTTCTGCCTTTATGCTAGTACTTTATGTTATAAAATACTGTTAAAATTGTGACAGTTAACAAAATTTCTTTTAAAATTGTGAAAAGTTGGTTCAACTCACACTTCCAGGTCCACTTGATTAGCTATGTGGGTTTATTTTAAGTACCTCACGGTACTCCCAGTTATCTGAGCTTTTGATTTAGGTTGATTTAAATTAGAAATTAGGGACTGGAGAGAATATAGCCAGTAGGGTACTTGCATTGCATGTGGCCAGCCTGGGTTCCGTCTTCAGGAGTAACACCAGAGCATTGCTGATGTGGCGAAAAAATCCCCAGAAATTAAAAGTCATGATGTTTTTTCTGAGGGGCCACACCCTGTGTTACTCAGAAGCTAGGTCACTATACTTGGTAACTGACCATACTGGGTCGCTTCTAGTGTTGTGCGGGAATGGACATTTGGTACTAGTGATCAAAATCTGGGGCTCCCTTGCGTAGAACATGTGTTCCAACCCCTGTTGGTTAATCTTCCCAGATTTCAAATACTATTTTGTTTTTAATCAAAATTTATTTTTATGTACGTGGACCACCCAGTTTGATGCATGGTATCACATTTGCTCCCTCAAGCATTGCCAGAGATGACTCTCTGGCCAGGAGCATAGCCAGGAGCATGCCAGATGTACCTCTAAAATCCAAAAATAAATGTTAAAAGATGGATCTTTTCTAAAAACTGATTTTGACCAAACAAGGAAGATATACTATATTCTGGTGAGATTATTATTTCATTTCCCCCTTTTTCAAACAGTACTAAAAGTTTTTTAGATTTCAGATTAGAGTCTTTTCTAAGAATCTTCCAAGCTACAAAAATATTAAAGCTGTTTTGAATTGTGGTGCAATGATATGTTTGGAGATGGGTGAATGTTTTAATACAATTTTAAGGTTATTCTGATTTTTCATGAATGTCATCTTCTATTTTTTAGGGAGTTTGTTAGATTTCCTGAAGGAAGGCGATGGAAAATATTTGAAGCTCCCACAGTTGGTTGATATGGCTGCTCAGGTACTTGTGTGACTATAGATTAATATGAATTGAAAGCTGATGTTAAAATTATAAAATAGGAATGGAGAGAGCTCCATGGCTGAGCTCTTGCTTTGCATTCAGGAGACCCATGTTCGATCCCTGGCACCACATGGTACCCCAAACACAGCCAGAAGTATAAGTATCACCATTTGTGGCCAAAAAACCAATTATCATCATCTTAATAGAAAACTTATATATTCTAACATAGAATTTTAGGGCTGAAAGGGAAATTAGGGATAATATAATCTCCTGTTACAGATAATTTAGTATTTGAAGACCAGAGGTATCTAAAATTCATATAGCTTATTAATATTAAAATTAAGTAGGTAGCACACTTTAGTACTCTATTTTTAATATATGACATTTCAGTAACACTCATCTACAAGTATTAAATATATATATATATATTTAGATTTGTTTATTAATTTAGTTTTAGTTTTTGCTCAGGGGTTACTCCTGGCTCTGCACTCAGGAATTACTCCTGACGGTACTTGGGGAACCAGGTGAGATGCCAAGGATCAAACCTGGATCAGCTGCATGCTAGGCAAGTGTCCCACCCACTGATCTAATAGATAAGAAGACAACGAATGATTGCTTTCCAGAGAAAATATTATAAATACATATGTGCTGTATTTTTTAAAATATTCTTAAATAAGATTTAAGATGCAGTATTTAGTTTAAGATCAGATGTTTTTAAATTTTGAATTTTCATCAAGAGAAACTATTAAAAGCTTCTATTTAGATATGTATTCTAAGTACTGTTTCTATTTAGATACATATTCAAAGGACTTTTTTTTTTTTGGCTTTTGTTAACATGTTGGTCCTAAGATTGCATTTTTGGTAAACAACCAGATGTCTGTGGAATTTTGCAGTTCAGAACTGTATACCAAGTAACTGTACTTTTAAGGAGCTGTGCTATCCTAGCACATGCTCCTGACTTCAAGACTCTTAAATGCTCCATGGTAATAGTTCACAAACTGCTTTTTTGAGTAAAGAGCAGATCCACGTTGTGGCTTTGTGGACCATAAACATCTCTTTCTTCTTTCCTATTACCTCACTTCTCCATTTCAGTTCTTAATTTTTCTGTATCACCAGAAAGTGTCTTGTTACCATTATCATTTCTCAAATACATGATTTTATATATCTTGTTCCCTTTTTTTTTTTTATTGTTCTGGGCCTTTCCTGGTGGTAGGTACTTAGAAGCCGACAGGGCCATGTGCAATATTGCTGGGAAGGAAAGTTGGTCAGGCAGTGTTAAGCAGACAAGCCCAGGGTGGCAGGCCTCGTCCTTTGCCCTAGATGCATGATTTTTCATTGATCTGACTGAGTACTATTCTAAATTCTCTTCTTCCTTATTTTTTTTTCCAAGATTGCTGATGGGATGGCATATATTGAAAGAATGAATTATATTCATCGAGATCTTCGAGCTGCTAATATTCTTGTAGGAGAAAATCTTGTGTGCAAAATAGCAGATTTTGGTTTGGCAAGGTTAATTGAAGACAATGAATATACAGCAAGACAAGGTAAAATTAGTTTTTAATAATGTAATCTTAAAAAAAATGTAATCTATGGTCCCCAAGGCCCTCCAGGAGTGATCCCTGAGCTCAAAGACAGGAGTAAGCTCTGATGTGGCCCCCAATCCCACTCCTCAAAAAATAATTTGTAAGTATTTGGAACCATCAAGATTTTATTCCAATAAGGACCAGAAAAAAGTGTATATGTAATGCTAATATATTTCATATATTTCATATAATATAAAATACATTTTATGTTCTAATATAGTTTATACATTATATAGCTGTAAATACTTATATGTTAAAAAAGGACCAAATAATAATTCCATATTATATTTCTGTGATATTCCTTAAATGTTCTACGATATTTAAAATCATAGTAAGTAAAAAACACTTGGAAAATTGAGGTGGTAAAAAATTGGGGAAAAGAGTCTATACAAATTAATAAAGATTGACTTTGTTTGGCATTTGTCTCTAAACTCTTTCACTACATGTTTGTTTTTTTGACCACACTTAGCAGTATTCAGGACTTATTCTTGGCTCTGCACTCAGGTAACCCTCCTAGCAAAACTTGGGGGACCATATGGGCTACTGAGGATTGAACTTGGGATGGCTACATGCAAGTTGTCATATTCAAAGCACTGTCCTTTCAGCCTTTCTTTACTGCACACTTCATAGATAACACATACATACTGTATGCATATGGGAAAAATAGATTTTTTTAAAATGTATTTTTGAGGAGGTGCACAATCTAGTGGTGCTCAGGGTTTACACCTGGCTCTGAGCTCAGGGATCACTTCTGGTAGAGTTTAAGGGATCATATGAGATCATATGAGGTGCTAGAGATTGAACCTAGGTCAACAGCATGCTAGGCAAGCTACACAAATGCCCGACCCAATGTATGATCACTTTAGTCCTGAGGCTGTAAACTTCCCCCAACACATCCTTTTTTTGGGGGGGGGGCACATCCAGTGATGTGCAGGAGTTATTTGTGGCTCTGGACTCAGGAATTATTAATAAATGTCACTGCCACTGTCCTCCCATTGTTCATCGATTTGCTCGAGTGGGCCCTGTAACGTCTCCATTGTGAGACTTGTTACTGTGTTTGGCATATTGTTTACATCATGGATAGCTTGCCATGCTTTGCCATGCGGGTGAGATACTCCCAGTAGCTTGCCGGGCTCTCCGAAGGGGTGGAGGAATCGAACCTAGATCAGCTGGGTTGGCTGTCTGCAAGGCAAATGCTCTACCCACTGGGCTGTCGCTCCAGCCTATTTACTATATAATAATATAATAGTAATATATCTCTCAAAGTCGTATGGGCAGCCAGAGGTTTAATCCCTACCTTCTCTACTACATTCCCAGCCCCCAAAGTATAGATTTTTAAATACTGATTCCTTATTGAACCATTATCAACTAAATGCTGTCTTTTAGATTGCACTTCAATGTCCTTACTAAATATCTAATAAGTAGTTAATTCTACTTTTCAAGACTGTTGTGAAACTTGTATTAATATGGATTACCTGGCAGTATCTAGAAGTTGCCTAGTAAATAGTAGAACTTACATTTTAATGGGAAGGGTGGTAACTGTATAAATAATTGTAAACAGCAGCCTATTATGTATTGACCAAAGAGTATCTGGAAAGTATCACAGGAATGTTACAGCAAGGCAGTGGCTCAAGAATAGAACTTTGAAGGAAGTATAACTTCTACTGCTTGAGTAGTAGTTAATCCAGATCACCTCATAGATTGTCCATCCCGAATGTCACCTACAGTGAGCTAACACATCTGCCAAAACAGTTAAGTTGGAGTCAGGAATGGCTCGAGTGTCACAGCAGTTTTGAGACCATCAGTTCATTCCCTGATATTGCATGATCCCCTGAGTCCCATTGGCCACAGCCCTAGTGGCTTGAAGCCTGCAGTGCTGGACCCAAGCATTTCTGGGAGTGTCCCCTGTTATAGCTGCCTTGGCATTCAGCATCTGCACTCTCGCTGCCTTTTGTGCACTGCTTCATCTCTGAGAAGCATTGCGGTTCCTCGAGTGCTAAGTCTGAACCCCCCACTGTAAGAGGCTGTGCTGTTTGGCTGAACATATGCTTGCATGCAGGAGGTCTGGGTTCAGTACCCTATATTGAGCACATCCGAGGGACCCCTGGACAAATTGCTGGGAGTAACTCCTTAGACCCAGCAGGTGTGACTTTTTCCCACACAAGCACAAAATAAAAACAAAACAAAATATTTTCTGCATTAAAAGCATACATATACTTAATACTTGAATAAAATAATGTGGAGCTTTTAAAAGTACAGTGATTATGATAAAATTCTCCAGAGAGATCCCATTAAATAAGAAAAATAGTATGGCCAACCAGTAGATAGAACACAACAGAACATGCTATCATCAACAGATGCAGCCACTAAACTCTGGTGGGAGACTCACTTCATAAGTATAGATTATGTAAAAAGACCACATTTTGATTGCTAATCGGAATTGCAGACTGTATTTTCTTTTTTCTTTGGTTTTGGGGCCACACCCAATAGTGCTCAGAGTTGACTCCTGGCTCTGCACTCAGGGATCACTCTAGGCAGCTCAGGGGGGTCATATGGTTGGAAGGAATTGAACCTGACATCTGTGCAAGGCAAAAGTCCTATCCATTGTACTATCACTCCAGCACCCCCTCTTGTATTTTCTTGAGCATCTTTTGTTCTCACCAATTATTTTTTAAGTTGTTAAATATCGTCTTAGGAAAAATAAATTTATTGTAACGATTTTAAATATTAAAGAATTTTCTGCATGTATCTTACACTTTTGAAAAATTTTACATCATACATACAAGAGCAACATTAACAAAAAGTTAACACTTTTTTTCATAAGATTTTTTTAAAAGCAGTTTTCTTAGCACAAAATTGTCGATGCTATTTTAGGTGCAAAATTTCCAATTAAATGGACAGCTCCTGAGGCTGCACTGTATGGTCGATTTACAATCAAGTCTGATGTGTGGTCATTTGGAATTCTACAGACAGAACTGGTAACCAAGGGCAGAGTGCCATATCCAGGTAAGCGTGCATTGGATAACTTCTGGCTGACCCCTCAGTGACTTTTTCACTGAAATTTAATAGGAGAAAAAAATGTGAGAGGAGGGAGGAATTTTCTTCCATCTCTCCATCTTTCCCTTTTTCCCTTCCTCTTTTTAATTTGGCATTGGGTCGACAGCAGCCAATGAGAATCACAGTCCTTAAGTTGTGGGGAAGATAATTGTGGTGGCCACACAGCCCCCTCCACTTTCTGCCGTAGGCTTTTTCCCAAAGAAAAATCTGTATCTTCTATCAGATAATAAGAATATCTTAGATATCCTGGATCACCCTCTCATCCCCAGCCTTCCCTACCCTGAGTAGAGTAACTGAAAGGGAGCAATAGGTGGGGAGCAGGCATCACAGAAGACTACAAAAAGGAACTGTATAACAGCCTGAAGGCTAAACAGGTAGTATCAGATAAGGAAACTCAGGGAATTGAAGTGATCCGTTATTGTTGTGATACATTATTGTTGTATTGGGCAGAACTGATTAGGGCCTTTTCTTCATTTTAGAATTTCATTAAGAACTCATTTTAGAAAGTTCTTTTAGATACTCTCTTGCCATTGTTGTTCTATAGCACCTTAAAATCTCACAAAATCTCATAAATTAAATGAGATTGGCTTATGAAAGCATTTGTCTTAAAAGTAGGATTTTAAATGGGACTAGAAAGTTATATAGTTGAACCTTGATAGAATTTTCCAATGTTCTTGTGAAGATACTTTAGCATTTAAATTAATTTGAAAAAAATTACTTTGATTCATTTCACTAGCTACTTATTTCAGTTCAGTTAGTATGTAGGCAGTTTGTTTTGCTTTGGTTATGTACTTGGCATGATTTAAAAAAACAAATTGAATCTTGTGTGTTAGGTATGGTCAACCGTGAAGTGCTGGAACAGGTAGAACGAGGATATAGGATGCCTTGCCCTCAAGGTTGTCCAGAATCCCTACACGAATTGATGAATCTTTGCTGGAAGAAGGACCCTGATGAAAGACCAACATTTGAATATATCCAGTCCTTCTTGGAAGACTACTTCACAGCCACAGAGCCACAGTACCAGCCAGGAGAAAATTTATAGACCAACTAGCCTGTTTTCTATGCACAGATCTGCCAATCTGTAAAATCCTTGTGTAGACTTCTTCATTTACATCCAGGAATCAAAAGAAGAAAATCTTCGTTCTGCATGTTTTTAATGGTAAACTGGAATTCCAGATTGGTTGCACAAAACTATTGTCCTCCCTCTCCCCTCCCCCCCCAAATAGTTAAACTAAAGCACCGTGATTAATTTTATTATTTCAGGGTCCAAAGAAAGTATAGCTATGAAGTGGATGATAGTGGAAGTGAAAGCAAAACAGTGAAGAAAGACAAGGCAACTGTTTATAAATCACTTTTACCCCCCAAATCCAGACTTGTTATGAATAAAGTATTATTATAAATAAAACCTGGAATATAAAATGTAATATAATAAGAATATATCTAAAATTAAGGAGCTTCATGGGACCAAACAATTCCATTCCAGTTTTTAAAACTTTTTACATTCATTCTCAAGTTTTTTCTAAGTTGAAATATGCAATCTTAATAAATACCTCCTTTTGCATGGAAGTGGGCTCTGTTTTTAGAATCAAAAAAAAAGAAAACATCTAAAATGTGACTTAATGTTAGATTACTGCAATGGAATTGAAACTCCTGGAACATAAAAGTATCAGAAATTTTCATTTTAGTCTTCTAAAAGATTAAATGTTGATAAGGTAACTAAATGTTAGACCACTGTAGTGGAATTAAAACTCATGGGACAGAAAAGTATAAAAAAATTTTCATTTTGATCTTTTCTAAATAGCTCAGTTTAAAATAAGGTAAGTAGAAAGTAAGTTGATCTTCATTAGGTTGCATTAATTTTTTTAAAGGTGATGTGTAATTAAAGTTGTACCGTCCAATCCAAGGGGAAATCTTTTAACCTTTAGGTAGCATGAAACCACAAGGCCCATCGTATAAGCAGTCCTTAAAAAAGACTGGTACTGTGATATATTTCTGATATGTACTTATGGTGATGGGTGCCACAAATACAAAATACCACTAGATCAGGGACTTGAATGCACTTTTGCTCATATTGAATATAAAATAACAAAAATATTTAAAATATGAGAAAAGAAAATGTGAAAGTTTAACAGAAGGATGAAATGTTATGTTTAATATTGAAGTGACAAAAATGGCTTTGCTGGCACTCAAAGCTCTTCACTTATCTATTTTCTGAAATGCTAAGAGATATAAGGTATGACCGCAAAACTAATCTTTCTTAACGTAAATACTAAAAAGAGTGTTAAAACCTCAACCTCAGAAAAACTCTAATAAGACTTCCTACTAATTTTAGTGATACATTTTATGCAAAGCAGTTTTAGAATTGCAATTTTCAAACCCAAATTTGAATCTACATTCACTTTTTTAAATTACAAAATGTTCATCATTGTTTTCCATTTAGAATTTAGTTGATTTGTGGGGCAAAGATGTATTCAGAATTAACAGAGGGTGTAGCTTATCCCATTTAAATATAAAGATACTGGAGAAAAACATCTATGACTAAGAAATTTCAAAGTATGAATTTGAATAACAGTATTAGTACTTTATATCTAACAAAGAACTGAATCTGACAACTCTGCTATTAATATTGTAAAACCTCTTTCTCTCATCACACCTTAAGTAAACTAACGCACCAGGTCCCCATATTTTAAGAATATAATTTTTAACTACCATCACTTATCTGATGTAATCATTAGATTATACTTTCTCGGCCATGGTATCTATTTTGCAATTCAAAATTTTTAATGTGACAATGAACTTCATGCAAGTTGGTGACAGTCTGGTACTAAACATTGTGGTGGTTTCTTATGTTTACGTAACCGGCTTAATGTTGACTTTTTCTAAGAGGATCTTCCCAAGGAAACTGCCATTATCATTTACCCCTTATGTCTGTAACTCGTGGCATCATATTTTAAAAGGGCTTTCCATGAACTTTGATAATACCATTTTTCTAAACATTTTGGAAAGGATAACAATTTTGTTTATATTCTAATTCTGTTCAGAAAAAGGAGCCAAGGAAAGTTGATGGTATTCATGAGGTTTTAACAGAATAGACCAGTTCCTCATATCATTTATATAATAAGGAAATAAAACACTAACTTAATGTGTATTCATTTTAACTGGTTATGTATTTTTTAATTGCCAAAAAAAAAAATAAACATCTTTGTACATTTGAAGATTTTTTTCCAGCAGCTCTCATCTTTAATATCTCAATGTGGAACTTAGTCCTTATCAAAAAAAGGAAGTTGGTATAAACAATCATCTAGCACACTTTTTTAAATGAATTATGATAGCCTAAAACTTAATATTTTTATAAGTATTATTATTTTGCTTTGTTGAATTGAAATAAAACTCATTGACTGCATCTATTTATCTTTTTGGCCACTACTCATACTTTCTCATCAGTTTTTAAAATTTGTATTAAAGCAAAGTATATCCTGAATTTTTTCTCCCAGTGTTTAAAAAAAAGAGAAAAGGGGAAAAAAGGTTAATTTTAACCAGAGCAGAATTGGGTCAATTTTTTATTAAATTCAAAACATCTTAGAACATTTAGTGTGGTTAATTTTCCACGTGAAGTCAGCAACATTTTTCTAAGTTTTGTTTTTTAATTATACTAGCAACTATATTTAATGACTTATACACAGAAACCTGAGTGATTGGAGTGATGCTATTAAGAAAGATAGAAAATAGAAGATACACATTTGACCATATTGATTTAATTTTCTAAAAGTGAATAATATATGAACCTTATTTTTATGTGTTTTATACTTTTGTTGTAGGTATAATGAAAGTAAAATTAAATTTAAAATGACCAATCAAAGCACTTATTTTCAGTAAAGTAATGTTGCCTTTTGCTATTTAAAGTTAGGTTGTTTTAATGATTTTTGAAAAGTGATTTTAATCAACAACATTTAGTAGTAAACACTTAACTATTTTTATACATTATAATCGTTTAATATAAGAGTGTTTTCTTAATTTACTGTTTGTCTTTGGTTTTTACATGTAATTTTTTGACATTTAAGTTATACATTTGTATGATGTGTGATCTTTTTTATGCTTAAAAAGTCCTTTTCACCCCCAAATTAAATATTCATCTCATCTGTTATATTTTATGCTTTTTCTCCTTCACATTTCCCTTGAATTCATTTGCAAGTTAATTTGGGTATAAAATATAACATCAGCTTAGTATGACTTTCCCCTAAATAATTTATTTTCTCACTATTTATTGGATGTCCATGATTATCCCACTTCAGTCTGAGGTCTTTCCTGTATCTAGAAACTTCTGTTTTTCCAAATAATTTCCCCTTCTATAAATATAATAATTACTAATTATTTGATATGGGCTCACTAAACTGTGTTCAGTGAGCCCAGAGGCCATTCCTGCCATACTCCTTGAGCCCTACCCCTGAGCAGGGGGTTCATGTTGGGCCTGACGAAATGGTGCTACTCCAACCCTGCAGTGCTGGGACCGACCAGGTCCGCCCCAGCAGTGATTGCAGGTCTCCAGGACAACCATGTTGAGCTGATGATGAAATTGGGGTCATGCAGAGAATGAATGACTCCCTAACCCCTGTGCTATCTCCCTGGCCCTGTGATAGGCATTTTAGTAGTTAAGGAGGAGCTAGAGTGATAGTTCAGTGGGTAGAGCATTGACCTTACATAGGGCTGACCCAGTTTCCATCCTTGGCATCTCATATTGCCCCCCCAAGCTCCATCATGAGTAATCTCTGGGTTAGAGCCAAGAGTAAACCCTGAGTGCCAGTGGCACCAATAAAACAAATTAATTAAACAATTTGCTATTGTAGTCTTGGTGTTCCAGCAAATTCTTGAAGTTTAGACTTTATTTTTCATATTTCCAAAAGAAGTATGATTTCTGTTTAGGGTTATGTTATAATTATAAATTATTTTGGTAAGAATTAAATCATTCAGATCAGTCTATTTATATAAATCTTCATTTACATCTCAGTAAAGTTCTCCAAGACTTTTTAGAGTTAGCAGAGGATGATCTTTCATTTGATTGTACAAGTTCCCACTTTATTGAACTAGAAGCCAGTGTACTGGTGAGGAACAGAATGTGTTTGCCCTGGTAGCATTTATTGCCCTAATAGCTTCCCCCTACCCTTCCTCTAGCTTTTCATTTAAATTACATCAAGTTGAGTGTCTGTTACCTTCAGTGCCCTGATTAACATTATTACTATTATTTTAGAGAAAGGAATAGCTAAAATAAATAGCATATATTCAGATCAGCTGTTTGGCTTCCACATTCCATTCAGAGACGTAGATGCCTGTCAGCAGAAGATTGGGTTTTTGTTGTTTGGGTTTTTGTTTTTGTTTTTGTTTTAATTTGGAGAGGCACACCTGACAGAGTTTCGGGGCTTTTCCCAAGTGTGGGATTCAAAAGATCACTCGTGGTGGTGCTCAGGCATCCATGCAGTGCCAGCTCACAGATACACTGTGGCTCACAGATACACTGTCTCAGAGGGTGAGGAATGTGTCCCCTGCTTCCCTTCCTGTGAAGCTGGGCTGCATATGTCCATCAACTAAAGACTCCTTTCAGTGTGGCTTCCTCTCCTAGTGCTGGGCGTAGTCTCTATACCTTACCTTGTCTGCCTTAATCTTTCCTGCATTAATCTTTGTGGTTCCCCTCTCCTGCTCATTTGTAAATATTCTTGATTCATCTTTAGTATGTCTTTTGTTTGCTGTTGGGTCTTTAATTCTTAATTCCTATTTGCCATACTGCCAATAGTTGTACTAGTAGAAAAAATACATTATCATATTTAAGTGATGTTTTACACAACTATTGACCCAGTGACTGTGAGCATATGGCCTCAAGTATTTAGGGATTTTAGCACTCCTTCTCTTCTGTCTCTCTCTCTCTCTCTCTCTCACACACACACATACACACACACACACACACACTCTCCTTCCCCCCTCCGACGTGCTAAGGGGTTACCACTCCCTGCTCTGTGCTTAGAAATTACTCCTGGCTGTGCTCAGTGGATCATATGAGATGCTGAGGCTCAAGCCATTATCAGCCACATGCAAGGCAAATGCCCTACCCACTGTACTCCTGGCCCCACAACTTCTGTTCATACCACAAAGAGGGATTTGGCTCCCTGGTTATCTCTACAATTAAAAAGATGTGCAAGTGCCACAACAGGAAGTATAACCCTTGGGCTACGCATGTGTGAGCACCACAGCCGTTACTCATTTGTCTCAACTAAGTTTGTGTGCAAACACCTCAAGTCCCAGTGAGCACTGTGGGTACAGGTATCAACCCCCACTCCTGGAGGGGCTTGGGGTACCATATGAGATTCGGGGATCCACCCAGTTCAGCCATATAGAAGGCAAACCT